AATCCACTTGATGTTATTAGTTGCCGAATAGGCCATGACTGAACGTCCTTCGTTATCCTTTTGGAAGAGGATATCTAATACTTTAGCACCAAGAACAAAGTTGCTTCCACAGTCGGATCGCATTATACTTGGAACGCCTCTTCGGCTAATGAAACGAAGGAAACTGTCTAGGAATGCGGAAGCAGAAAGACTTTCGACGGGTTCTAGATGTACTGCTCTTGTCGACAGACACGTGTACAAAGCAATGTACATCTTCTCGTTAATGTCGCTGTTGAAGGGACCTACGTAGTCGCAGCCACATGTTGGAAAGGCTTTGATTTGACCACGCGGTCTTTTGGTAGCGGAGCCATCTCTGGGTACGCGAAGGGCAAACCTTGTTCCCTTTTGCATACTGTGCACTGACTGAGGATTTTCCGAATTCTGGATGATGGCTTAGGGATCCAGAATCGCATTCTGAGGAGCGACAGAGTATGCTGTCGACCGCAGTGCATGTTGGTCTCGTGTAGTTCATTGACAATGAGACGTATGAGATCAGACTCTTTTGGGATGAAAATTGGTTCTTTCGTGTCGCGCGGTAACGCTGCGTTAGTGAGCCGTGAATTGGCTCTAATTAGCCCGTTTTCGTCTAGGAACAGGTTTTTGTCTTTGTACCTTGAGCGGAGTTCGTTTATATCAATGTCACTTATTTGTTCAGTAGAATTGTTCCGCGGCCTTCAGCTCACTGGACGTAATTTCATTGTCTGGAAGGAAGCGTTGTAGCAGCGGAAGCGCGGTGGTTCTGTTGTTTCGCGCGTTGACTCTCGCAATCCAGCATGACAGTGCTTTCATTGCGCGCGCCAGTGTGCACAAGGCTCGTGAGTAGTATCGGAAGCGCGAGGTGTCGATAATGGCGTGAGTTCGTTGTGGTGGTGCTTTGACCGTGGGTGCGCATGTTGTCGCAGCGCTGATTTGGTCGCTCGAATTCGGCTCCCATGATGAGTCAATTGGCCAATCATTTGGTTGTAATTTAAACCATTGAGGACCTGAGAGCCATTCGCTAGCCTTGAACTGTCCTTTAGCTACAGGCCGAGTCGCGATATCAGCAGGATTATTTTCGGACTCAATGTAGCTCAATTGTAATGATATTCCGAGTTCTTGGATAGAATGGTGAAGCTTTTTGATTCTGTCCACCTGATTAGCTACGAAAAGAGGAAGCCTTCTTGAGGTTTGTGTCCAGGCTAATGCTATTTTGCTATCATTCACAATATAAACCTTAGTTATGCGACCTTGGTACGATCGTAGTATGGTTTTTGCCAATCGGAGAGATATCAAAATGGCAAGAAGTTCGAGCCTTGGGATGGTTAATTGTCTTTCTTTTGGAGCGAGCCGTGTTTTTGCGCACAATAAGCCCTTTGTTTGATTGCTGGGTGGGTGAGTAACGTAGCTGCAGCAGGATATTGCCAGCTGACTTGCATCACCGAATACCCATAGTGTTGAACCTTTTCCGTCATGAAGTGTCAGGCCGATATTGCGCGGCACTCTGATAGAAGTACCGGAAATTTCCGTGCAAATTTCATTCCACCTGTTGATGTATTCCGTGCTAAGAGGTTTTCCCCAAGCTATTTTCAGCATAACTACCTCTCTCATCAGCAGTTTTGCTTTGAGGGTCAAGGGTAGTGCCAGGCCGAGAGGATCGTATATTTTGTGGACTGCACTCACAAGTTCTCTTTTGGTCATCTGTTGCTTTTGAGATAGCCTTACATCAAGGAGGAGCTCATCGCTTTCAGTGTTGTAAGCTACCCCAAGCAATTTTGTGTTGCCAGTCACTTTGACTAATAGGATTATGTTTTTAACACGTTGACGACATTGTGCAGCGCATGCGCATCACACCTTGAGCACCGTGTGGGACCGTGTGCAGCGCATGCGCTGCACACACAAAATATTTATTTTTTTCGCGCATGCGCTACTTCTTTTCTAATTTTTTGCATCTATTCCATAGACTACACCATAATATGACTAGACACGGCGAGGTTCATTGAATGGTTGAATATGCTCCTTTTTAGCGAAGGTTTTCTAAGCCCTACGAATTTCCCAATTGTGTTCATTCCTAGTTTCCTTTATATTCTGATAATCTTGGTCATAAAAAAGAGCAGTAGAAGTAAGTACAGACCCACACATATAGCAAGACATATGTTTTTAGTGGAGCAACCGCGTCAAAAAAATAATTTGAGGTTCACTGCAGCAAAAGCAACTGAAACTTGCCTTTCATCGCCAGAAAACGTCAATTCGATCGATTTTTTACAGTTGTCCCTTCTGATAAGTTTGACACATCGAATATCATTCTAAACATTTTGTTGCATCCGAGTTTTGGGTATTTAAAGCTCAAAATTCACGGATTTGATGTGAGGCGGCGGCGCCTGCAAAATCGCCGTGGTCCCACGCGGCGCAAAAAACCCAAAACACGCGTTGTCGTCAACGTGTTAAACATATTCTGAGTTGCTGGTGAAGTCTCTCAAGTTCATTCCAATATTGCGGAAGAGCTTTCTGGAGTTTTCAATTTTCTCCAGTGCGTCTTCTTCGGTATTTGCTGCTAGGAAGACGTTATCGACGTAGATGTTATCTAGAATCTCTTTGGACAGGACTGTTCCCGTTGTGGTAAGAAAAGCTGCCAGCGACATGTTCAGAATGCTGGGTGAAGCTTTTGTACCAAACGGTAGTCGCTTGAATCTGTAGTGGATCACGTTAGTTGGTGAAGGAGCTTGATCTGGGTCTTTTAGCCACAGGAATCTTAGCAGGTCGCGGTGTTCTGCAGCGATTCTGATCTGGGTGAATGCTGCTTGGATGTCAGCTGTAATCAGAATATTGCACCATCGGCTATTCGTGAGAATGTCTTGGATTTTGTTCACGAAACTTCCGCCGGTATGCATGACGTCATTAAGAGAAAGCTTACCAACGCCTTTTGAAGAAGCATCAAAGACAATTCTCAAGGGAGTGGGTTTTTCACTCTTCCACACTCCTGAATGGGGCATGTAATAAGTGGTCTTGTCGGGGCAGTAGCGCTCCGAAATCGGAACTTCCTCAATGATGTCGTGCTTTTTATACTCTTCTAATATTTTTGAATACCACTCTTTTTGATCGTGATGTAGATTATGGAACCTGTACAGTGAGGTCAGTCTCGAAAGAGCCACATTGTAATTGTTCTCCAGGTCCACTACATTATCCTTCAGCGGAAAAGGAGCGGTTATCACCCCGTCTTCTATGCGGATGCGTTTGGAGTACTCATTTAGGTACTCATGAGTTGTGTCATCTGTTTTGTATTCGTCGGTCAATATCCCCATTCCGTCTAGCTCGTACATTTCCTTTAGTTCTTGTTTGATATCTGATATTGCTTCGGGACATGCTAGAACCACTTGTTGGGAGCAAGCGTTTAAGTGGGGAATGTCTGACTTTCCGAACAAAGCAGGCCCGAAAACAGTATCCTGAGCTAAAAGACCGGATGGTAATTTTGTTGGAGGCGAGTCCAGGAGGACAATTTGTTCGTAGGACTCGACTCCGATTAAAACCGCAGGTGTGACTAACTGACCATTCGTGGCGGTATTTGAGAGGAAGATACGGTTTCGTTTGAGGAATTGCACATCCAAATCCGTAAGTGTAGCGGCAGGAAATGCGTTCGTGAGCACAGGTTTGGTGCTCAAATTAATGGCGAGAGTTTCTCCGAACCGCGTTCTGAAAACGGCTGTCACTTGCTGCGCCGTATAGGTTTGAGCAGTTCCTCCAATTCCGTGCATTGTGCATTGGTATGGGTCACCTCGCGGAAGAGCGAGCGCGTCAGCCAGGCTGGCAGCAATCAAATTGCATTGAGCCCCCGAATCGAGGAAAATCAGGACGTTCTCGAATGAGCCATTAGCGTTGTTCTTGATCTGTCCTTCCACTGTCATGAGGACGAGGTTTTTCTCGTGAGAAATTCCATGTGTTTGGTTCGAGAAACTGTTCACGGCTTACTTCACTCGTTAACTGTGCGGCTGCTTG